TACAGATATTTGACTTACAGATTTTCCAGTAACCTTTTTCAAGCCCCTTATGTTGCCTTTCTGATCTGACACCATCTTCTCTAACCATGGATTACGATCTGGTCTACTTGATCAGTTGTAATTCTCTGTCCCTGTCGCATTGCTTTTATATCAAAAATTGACATTAAGGGGAGATAAACTCCAGTGGAACTCTCTATAGAGTGTTTTGAAAGCAGTAGGACAAGAATCCTTAAGTATGATTTACATATAAACATTTTTTATTTTATTTGAATAACTTCATTATGTCATATACTAAGGTAGTTTATTTGCTTACATATATATATAGATTTACATTACAACTGCCAGACCCTGTATAAATACTATCAGAAGAAATTGTGAAGAGCTTTGAATGAAATTTGATTAGTCTCATTTTGAAGCACATCTGTCATTATTTTGAGTAAACAATCTGATCATATTAAGAAGCAAGCACCTGTAAGGCTATTTCAGGAACTGCTTGCATGGATAACAAGAGTACCACGGGAGGGTAACAAGAGTACCGCGGGGCGGTAACAAGAGTACCGCGGGGAGGAAACAATATGTGCCCGTTTAATGCCATATAGTGTTATATATACTTTCTTACATAAGATCTGCATCATTCTTAGAGTGGTTAGCTGACATGCTATAAATAATTTAGAAGAAAATCTCGAGACAAAAAATCAAATACTGAAATGAACAAAGAGCAATAACTTTAGCAAAAATCGTTTAATCAAAATTCTTTTAAGGGACACACAACTCCATATCATGATCATGATGTATACTAAATTTCAAAGAGATCCGTTGAAAAATGTAGGAGGAGATTGCCGGACAAAAATCAAATACTGAAATAAACAACAGGCAATAACTTTTGCAAAAAAAATTGAATCAAAATTATTTTCAAGGAAACACAACAACATATCATGATTATCTAGCCTACTAAGTTTCAAAGAAATCCGTCAAAAAATGTAGGAGATCTCCAGACAAAAAATCAAATACTGAAATGAACAAAGGGCAATAACTTTTGGAAAATTGTCGAATCGCAATTCTTTTAAGGGAGACACAACTTCATATTATGATAATAATGTATACCAAGTTTCAAAGAGATCGGTCGAAAAATGTAGGAGGAGATTGCCGGACAAACAAAAGTTTACGCCGTACGGTCGGACGGACGGACAACCCCATACCATAATACTTCCGTCAAATTTGACGGGCGTATAAAAAATAACAGATTTTTGTGTTTAGATAACTAGTAACTTTAGATTTAGAAAAAAATCTTCATGAACACAAATTATTTACACCAATGAACCGTTTCAATGCAATATGGTTCTAATTGATCTGGTTTAACGGTGTTTATAAAATGTCCAGGGGTCGACAAATGGAATGTATAGATATTTGCGTGGTTCAGGGTAAGACGTTGACCTACCTGTTTACTATGTAACCAGATCAATTTATACACTGTATCAATTTGTTGCCTTGATAACAAATGAAGATAAAAATCAAATCAGTCGTATTTTCATAATTATTAATGCTGTAAGTGAAATAAACATGTCCCGGGATTCAAGAGGATCACCTCCATCCAAATCATACACATAAAAATGTTTTTTGTAAACATAATTAAAACAAAAATCAAAATTCAAATTTGACATAATGTTTTGTAAAACTAACAATGCTTAATACGACATGATGTAAAATAGGTCACACCCTGATATCTGATAACTTTATATTCCGTGATCGTGATATCTTCAGAGCTCTTTACTTATTGTTTTAGAGACATTAAATCATTCTAGCAACTTCAATAGTGATTGTCTAGGATTTATAAATACACTGTACCATGAACTAATATATAAATATCTCTGCAGCTTTATATATCTCCATATATCTTTATGGTGGTAAATACACTGTACCATGACATTATATATAAACATCTCTACAGCTTTATATATCCCCATATATCTTTATGGTAGTAAATACACTGTACCATGAACTAATATAAAAATATCTCTACAGCTTTATATATATCTCCATATATCTTTATGCTGGTAAATACACTGTACCATGAACTAATATAAAAATATCTCTACAGCTTTATATATCCCCATATATCTTTATGGTGGTAAATACATTGTACCATGAACTCATATATAAATATCTCTAAAGCTTTATATATCTCCATACATCTTTATGGTGGTAACTACACTGTACCATGAACTCATATATAAATATCTCTAAAGCTTTATATATCTCCATATATCTTTATGGTAGTAAATACACTGTACCATGAACTAATGAATAAATATCTCTACAGCTTTATATATCTCAATATATCTTTATGGTGGTAAATACACTGTACTATTAACTAATATATAAATATCTCTACAGCTTTATAAATCTCCATATATCTTTACGGTGGTAAATACACTGTACCATGAACTAATATAAAAATATCTCTACAGCTTTATATATCCCTATATATCTTTATGGTGGTAAATACACTGTACTATTAACTAATATATAAATATCTCTACAGCTTTATAAATCTCCATATATCTTTATGGTGGTAAATACACTGTACCATGACATTATATATAAATATCTCTACAGCTTTATATATCCCCATATATCTTTATGGTGGTAAATACACTGTACCACGAACTAATATATAAATATCTCTAAAGCTTTATATATCTCCATATATCTTTATGCTGGTAAATACACTGTACCATGAACTAATATATAAATATCTCTACAGCTTTATAAATCCCCATATATCTTTATGGTGGTAAATACACTGTACCACGAACTAATATATAAATATCTCTACAGCTTTATATATCTCCATATATCTTTATAGTGGTGATCTTTCTATTCTTAGCTGGTTTATCATGACATGAATTACATATCTATCTTATAAATATCTTAAATAGAATTAAAATATCTGTTGATAATTGAGATTTATATATATATATAGTGACTTGCGTAAGTCTTTCATGTTACGTCATTTTCCCACTGGATTCTATGTTGATTTACTTCTGGAAAATCAGTGTTTTACCTGCCTCATTTTCAGTCAAAAATTGATGAAATTCAAAATAAAGCTAGAAAAAGTATCTAGTACTTCTCTTGGTTATATAAATACAATTATCCATTCCATGAAATTAAAAAAATAATTCTCACCATTTTGGGTTACTTGGCAAAAACATTTTTTATGGCAAAATTAACATTGTGTCCATGGGAATGATATCAAAGTATAACTTTTATGCTAGGATGAAAAGTGATATTTGAATAACAGAACCACAAATAAAATAATAAATATAACCAGAGGAAACACCGGATAGTTCTCTAACAAGATGTCTATAAGTTTTATCAAAATTGGATGTCAATTAACATAGAACCCATTTCGGAAAATGATGTAATGTGAAAGACTTAAGGCACGTCACTGTTGATATGTTATTCCAGATCAGGTT